AGAGAGAGAGAGAGAGAGAGAGAGAGAGAGAGAGAGAGAGAGAGAGAGAGAATATGGATGACAGGGAATATTATAAGATGACACAGAGATCTTTGGTCATATGTACAGCCACATGTGCTAATAGAGGATGCAAAGGGAGAGGACATGCTGGTTCTTTGAAAAGATATACAAGTTTGATAAGCTCTTAGCCAAACTAATAAAAAGAAAAAAAGCCCAAATTATTTAAATTAGAGGTGAAAAAGGAGAAATCACTACAGACATCTCAGAAATCCAGTAGATCATTAGGGACTATTTGAAAACTCAGACTCCAATAGGTTGGAATACCTCGAAGAAATGGATATATCTGTGAACAAATAAAATCTACCAAAAAGGAATCAGGAGGACAAAGAAAACCTAACTTGGAATGAGAAAGGAGCAATAATAAAAAGCCTTCCAACAACGAAAAGCCCAGGACCAGATGGATTCTCAGCTGAATGCGAATAAATCTTTAAAGAAGAACTAATGGCAATACTCCTCAAATTATTCCATGAAACAGAAAGGAGAGCAACACTTTCATATTAATTCTATCAAGCTAGGATCACGCATATCAAGATCAGATAAAACACACCAGGGAAAGAAAACTATAGACCAACAGCCCCGATAAACTTAGATGGCAAAAAATACTTATTAAAATATTAGCAACTCATGTTCAACATTATATTAGGAAGATTATTCACCATGACCAAGTTAGTTTTATTCCAGAGATGCAAGGATGGTTTAACAAATGCAAATCAATATAATCATCAAATAAACAGGATTAAGACAAAAATCACTTAGCTTTCAACAAAATCTAGTATCTATTCATGATAACACAAAAACAATGAAGATACTAGAAATAAAGGAACCTACTTCAACACCATAAAGGTCATATAAAATAAAAACTCAAAGCCAACCTCATAGTAAATGGAGGGGTGGGAAGTAAAAGCATTTCTTTTAACATCTAGGACAAAGATGTCCACTCTCACCACTCTTACTTAACATACTGCTGGAAATTCTAGCCAAAACAATTTGGCGAGAGAAGGAATGAAAAGGGATAAAAATAGGAAAAGAAGAAGTTACGTTATCACTGTTTGTAGATGATATGAT